CATAAACAAAGAATTACACTGGCCCTCTCTTCCTTTTGGGTGACGTCCTCGGTGCTCCCCTTGACACAACCCTCGCCCCCGCAATTCTAAAGGTTCGGTAATCCAAGAAAGCACTCACGAGCCAAACGCGCAAGTTTAAATAGAGCATAAGACTGAGGAACCGTACCTGGTCTCCTCCGTGTAATACATACTAGATTATTTAAAAAGACCTTTATAGGAGAGAGGCTGGAGCCAAATTTGAACGCGAGTCACTGTGTGATGACTGTAGTTACTGCCTGTCTACCCTCTGGTACCTGGTTCTCAGAATTTAAGAGGAAGTTGGTTGTAGACGGTTTATTATGCATCTCTGTAAGAAGGATGGGAGAATAAAATGCAGATGCGGTGAGCAGGAGATGTCAATCAGAGGGAGACCGCTCGTCGACCACGCGTACATGATCAACGTTCGCAATTGCTTTCGACTGTCGAATATAAAAGTCTACTTAAACAAAATTGAATATAATAAATGACCTTAATAAACTCTATTTGCATGCAAATAACCCTGTGTTAAAGTCCGCATTTTGAAGTCATGAGGGTAGGCAGTCAGATCTGGAATTAAGTAAGGTCAGACATGCAGCGGAATTAAAGGACGCCTATCTGCCAATGAAAGAACAATACACGCTCCAATATTGTGCTATAATACGACAATGGGTTAAACAGTCGATTTTAGGATTTATCGAAGCTTTGGTGACAAAAGTACGCAAAAGCATGCACTGCCTCAATCGCAGCATTCTACAACCCCACCTCTGCTCAACACAGTCCACGTCGCGTCACGTAGTCACGAGAGTGCGGTTCAAGGTGCACCAAGAGAGCGGTGCCAGTGAAAGTCCTCTGTCAAACCTTGTGCCGATATCGGCAGCGCTGTCAAGCTTGTAGAGCATTGCACCTCCTCTGCTGAAATAAGTGAAGCATCACCGCCACAACACCTGCCATGATTGGGAGGCAAGTCAAGTTAGAGGCGACATTAGCAAAGCTAAGTACACATTTGCGAGGATGGTGCACTCCCGATTCTCGACGTTCTCGCAGGTAAGGCTTGAAGCAGGGCATGTGGCTGCAGTACAAAGGTGTACACAGAATGGTAAAGAGCATGGCATTGGTAGAGAAACTGCCAACTTTCACGCGACGCAGTCGTCTCCTGTCTGTGACTGCGCAACCGTTGCGAGGCCTCACGCAAGCACCGGTAGCAGGAGAGGAGAGCAGAGCACGCAGTGTCACCCCCCTTCAAACCTTCCTTCCTTTCTTTCGTTCATTGATTAATGGGCCAATCCTCGAGGCAATGCAATACGAGGCCGACCCGTGGACGGGGTTGAG